TAACCAAACAACCGATACATCGAAACACAATACCCAAAATCTTCAAATCGAGATCCCCAAGGTTTTCTTCATCTTCTCAACCTCCAAATATACAGTCGAATACGGTAGGAACTCTGAAAAATAACTCTTGCTGAGATCATTAATTGCAACAGAAAGTTTTGGGATCTCTAATGTCTCCTCATGGGTCAGCGTCCTCACAAACCTTGCTGGATTTCCAGCCCAAAGCTCACCAGTTGGGATCCTCCTCCCCGGGGGCACCACAGACCCTGCTTCAAGGATGGAGTGGGTCTCCACCAATGAACCTTCCATAAGTATGGAATGCTGTCCAATGATGCACTCTGGCTCGATTGTACACGAACGCAAGAGACTATATGCACCAATAGTTACATACCTCTCAACTGATGTCTCTGCTGGCAGCCCTGACATATGGAAAGACAGCAAACAATGTAAACTGAAATTCCAACACTACATTCATTTGTAATTTTTTTTCTTTTCCTTTGACTTAGAGAAGAGGGAGGTATGATAAGAATTAATAATGAAATGAAGAGCATATTTGTGCTTCATGATGATTTCTATGTAGTGTCTAGAAGACAAGTACCATATACAAGGATGTCGGAATCTGCAAATAAGAATTCTACAGACTTTGAATTACCTCCAGAAAGCACTTGAAGCTTCACATTTTCTTTGTATTCTAATGCATTAGTCGATTCAACAATTGGTTACTCTCATTTTTCCAATAAAAACTATGCTCCTTGCAAAGTTTCACACCAACATGCTCACAGAAATGCAGAATAATGAGATTCATACTTATAGCAAGCAAAATGATTCTTTGCAGTTTTTTAATAATGATCAACCTAAATTTGGAACAGTTACCAGCAACACAAATCTCCCGTGAACTAAAAATTCAATTAGCTTGTGGCAGTACATAGAACAGGAGTAAATGCTTAAAGTGATGACTTGAAAGTGAAGTTCCCGAAGAGATTGAATTGACATTTTTAAAAGGTCCCTTCGTGGGTTTCAATACATGCTCCAAACAAGCAAGGAAAAAAAAAGATGATGCAAAAATCTAAAAGTTCTAACAAAGAAACTTGGAAAAAAAAAGGAGTTTTTGAACTTCAAAAGAGGGACTAAAAATTAAATACTGAAACTGAATGTTGAATTTTAAGTGTCGAATGCTAAATTTTTTGATCTGCAAAATATTTAGCATCTACTGAAATTTCAATAGTAAATTGGATCAAACTATTTAATCAATACAAGTAGCTAAAGTCTGGAAAATATTACTTTTCAAATTTTGTCCTTCCCTTGTACCATCTCTACCACTACCATTACCACTACTTCACAATCATCGCCACCATCCTGTACACATTATTACCGTCACCATCACCATCACTGCATCACCTCCTACACCATCCACCTCCCCACCCTCATCATTGTCGCTACCCCCAATTCTTACCCCATCACCCATTGCCACCTACTCTACTGTCATGGTAAGGGATAAAGGTGATAGAATGGGTTGTGGCTGGGGTGGTTGTGATGATAACGGGGAAGTAGTAATAGAGGATAATAGTGGCAATGATTGTGGTGGGGTAGGGTCGTGGCGATGATGGGATTGCTAGTTGTGGTGGGAAGGTGGCACTAGGATAATGGAAGTCGGGGCACTTGTGGTGGTGGTTGAGTGGTGGCAGCGAAGTAATGGTAGTCATGACTGTGGTGACGGTGACGGTGTTGGTGTGGGGTGGAATGTGGTGGGTTGTCGGGAGATCGTAGTGAGGTTGTGGTGGGGGTGATGAGGTGGTAGTTAGGGATGATTACGACAATAATAGAGGTGGGTAGATGGTGGTGGGCGGCCAAGAGTGTGGTAATGGTGATGGAAGTGGGGGCGGCGGTGGCAGTGGTGAGTGATGAAAAGCTAGGTATAAAATAGATAGAGATCAAAATATTTGAGGGCAAATTTTGTCAATTATGAGAAGTTCATAAAATTTTTATTAACTATAACGTTTTGCATTAATCGAGAAGTAGGTGGAGACTATTATTTTTAAGAGAGTTACAATTTTAAGTGATGTGAATTTTGGTTATTAAACGTTCTTACAAAATACTGAATGTTTTTAGGTTTAAGTACTGAATTGAGTTTTATCTAGTATTTTAGCTGCAATGTCAATACACCAAGCACATTTAAAATCACTGCAGTGCCCGACATACAGCGAACCTGAAGTATTGAATTCCATTTTTAATAGTCACTTGAAGTGCTCAATAAATCATATAAAAACTCAAGTTTCTTGCTTGCAAAAGTTTGGTCTGCCCTTTACTTATTTGTAGCAAAAGGGAAATAAGAAAGAAACTTGAAAAAAAAAAAAAAGTGAGAGATTTTATATTTAAAACAAGAGACAAACCTAGACTTCTATCTAGCATTTTAATTAAAAATGTCAATATATCAAGCATCCATGACATGCAGAAAATGTTATCTGGAACCACTATTCATGTTCTATGTCTAACACGTCATGCGATACAAAGGCTTGATAGCCTCACCAATACAAAAACTGCAGCTAGTCAATGATCTATTTTAAGTGTATCCATGGCAGAGAAAAATGTTTTTCATTCCAAAGTACAACAAGAACTTATTCATTATCAGTCATAAATGGTAATACATAATTAATCATTCTCCTCCAACTCAAAGTTGTGGTAGACTTCCCTCCTACTGGGCACTCAGCAACTAACTCAAGGGGCATGATATCGAAGAGCTCCTATCAACAACCCTTCTTTACAACACAAAACATAACTAAATGCACAAGGTAAAGCTGGAACCCCTTTAGTCTCCATTTGCATAAATAACCCCTTCAGACATTCAAGATCCCTTAGCAAGAACACAAAAAAGGGAAAGAAAAGAAAAGTGAAAACAAAAGAAAGTATGGATCAAAATTAGCTTACTACCCTTCGACAAAAAATTCCCAATCACAAATCAATCAACAATAGGCTCCACAGGAAGATGATTTAATGGGACATCAACAAGGGTACAACTATGGAAATAAGGTCATTCTTCCTGCATTTTAGGTAATTCACTGGGTTTTTGATATTTAGGGACATTTCCAACTGCCTAAAGCAAAAATGTTGCATAGTTTATTGTCAGTTTTGACACATCATCAAAAACATATGAACTAGCATAAAATCTGATGATCGTCAAATAGCCATACTAATCATCACAAAGAAGAATATCATCATCTGCAGTTGAAAACTGCATTTCATCACTTTGCCCAATTCTAATGTAGGTTTCTCCCACTCTGTCATCCTAAACAAAATGATCAAAAGTCTCTCTGTCTTATGCCTCACTCTCTAGAACGTAAACACCTAATCAACTTCCCAGATCTCATCGTAAAACTTATCTACCATAATTATCCAAGTTCAAAAGGTTAAGGGGCTTCATGCAGCAACTCCCTGAGTACCATTGAAAACTTCAACCACTGCCTTTACTTAAGAAGCTTTGCATTAAGTTTAAATAATGAAAGGTAGTTATCCAAGAAACCCATCAGTAATAGACTTTCTTCCACAAAAATCTGAGAGACCTTAATAAGCCACGCATTGTTTGAGGAACAATGCAAGCTAGCATACTGTCAATGTTCACCTTGTTGTCAACTACCTATATTGTAACAACATAATGGGCAGCTTACATAGACAATGCAACAAGACAATGGAATAGGCATGTTTGTTCAAAATGATAAGCAATCGCCACTATTATACAAAATTGATAAAAGATCATTACTCCGTAGAATTTTATTGGGTGTGAAATTGTTTTGTCAAAAAACAAAGTAGACAATTTTATCATGGTTGCATAATTCACCATGGTTTCTATTTGAGTGGACAGAAAACCGGGAATAAAGAAAGTTGAGAACTCAAAAGGTGAACTCTGAGGTGTTTGTAACTTGAGGCAGAAGTTATTAGTATTCCAATGACTAAATGGTAAGAGATTCATCAAAAATTATGATGAAGCATGATGAGATTATTCATGCTTCATTATTAGGACTTCATTTAGGAAATATCAGCGTTTGATGTAGGGAGCTGATTTTAGGGATCACTAAGATTTGAGGAGCTGATTGCTGGAAAAATAGTATCACCTAGGGAGTTGGCTGGCCTCATACTGAATTGGTGCATTATTGTTTCCAATATGAAAGCTGGAGTTTCCTCGAATTAACCCAATTTCCTTTCCCTGCTTACATTCTGCATGTACATTATTTTTTCATTTTACCAAATCACATAGAACAGTCATACATACCTCGTGTGTGGACTCAATACTTTGTCCCAAACCCAATTGGCATGAACGATTACTCCTCTTCATCTACACTAAATTTTCGGAGCTACATTTGGATGCTTCAGCCACTTTAGATCCCGATAACTAGACCGGCAATAGATCTCTCTAGAATTCAGAAAGATAACAAATGTACTTAATTGATTTCAAAACCCCTTTTCTGCATGTATATGGACAGACCAAGCTTGAGACTAACAACACCCTCATTGAACATGAAAGATAGCCATAACTAGCCTAGCTTGAAAGATAGAACATCGTAGAGCCATGGAGTAGCATTTTCTGAAAAGAATTAACAGTAAAAACTCTGCCTTTCATTCTAGCTAAGATATATCAATCCACGTCATACTTTCAAGTTAACTAACACATTATTAACAATCAAAAGGTAATAACCAACATAATGTAATAACCTAGTCAATACGTCCTAACCAGCATTCTATTCAAATAATTCAAAATGCATCTCCAAAATCCTAAAAAACACACGCCGTTAACCCTTATTCCACAGCTGACTATGCTAAGCCTACAATTTTAAGCAGTTAGGTTTCTAGAAGATGATAATTCACCTAAACTAATCTAAATAGCCGTCTTAGACTAGGTTGAATTTGGGTTTCCTCATTGAGCGCATTCCCGAACCGCGGATAATCTCAATTAAACACAACAAATTTCTTTCCCTCACCAACACATTCTCAGCAACCAAACAAAAACCCTAAGAACGATCAAAATCCACGAAATCAAATCCCAAACCTGTAGGTGAAGACCAGGCGGCATGGATCACACACTTCTCCTGGACATTGGAACAGAACCCAATGGTGATCTTGTTGAGATCGCCCCTAAGTACCGACCCGTTCCAGACGGAGGCTCCATCGTAGACGGTGACCTGGCCGGCGAGGACCACGTTGGGAGCCACGTAGGCATCGACGGCGACCTTTGGGAGCCACTGCCCCAGCGGGATGATCTTCCTCTGCCCCCTGTAGTCCCACTTCACTCGATCCGGCGTTTCCGTGATTTTTGCTGCTTCGGTGGCGAGTGTGCGGCGTAGGAGGTGGTGATGGGACAGTGTGGAAGTTAGGGCTTTTCGAGATAGTCGAGCTAAGGTCGCCATTGGGGAGAGAGAGAGAGAGAGTCTAGTTGGGGGATCCGATTGCAGTTTTAGCTCCAGTGGGTTATGTTTGAGGAAGATTAACATTGGAGAAAAATAACAGAAAATTACATATTCACCCTCTGATTATGCCCCTGATCTTATTTTGTCCCCTACATTATCGGATTTCTTGCATTTCTCCCCAACCATTTCTCAAAAATCAATTTTCTTGGACCAAAAATATGTGTAACTATATACTAAAATCAGCATTTTTATGGCTACACTTGCCCTGATGTGAAACTAATAATCATTGTTGAGGTCTAAAATTTAATATTTGAGAGGGAAATTTGAAATAATAATTATATTTGCTGGTACAAAACGAGAAACGTTAGTGTTAATGGTATAACGGGGCAATGCGAGACAACACATTACTATGGGGGTGAAACTGTTTGTCTTCATTTTTCTATTATTTATGTCTTACTCCATGTATTTTGGCTTATTTACATATTATCCTTTTAAAATCTGATTGCAGAGATGGAAGGTGTCTATAAATGCAAACTGTAGAGTTTTTTTTTTTTGGTTATTTTATGTATAACTCCATGTATTTTTGCTTATTTACATGTCATCCTTCTAAAATCTGACTGCAAAGATGGAGATCAATTTTTTTTTTTTTAAATGAGTGCAATACGAGAACTTCTTAGGGAGTCGTCTATCAAAGTATTGAACTGGGGCAGTGCTTTATAATCGCACCTTAGAGATGGAGATCAATAATTACAGTTGGTTCACTGAAAGTTAACTAGTCATTAATTTCTTGGTATCAAACAATCATGCCATTCCCAACTCATCTTCAAAATGCTCATACTGGTTTTTCCAATTATGATACTGTGAGCCACTCAACAGAGCAAAGGCCACCATTTTTCAGTCATGATCTGGGTGGTGACTTTTTTGGCCTTGTTGAGAACTCATCCTACACCACACCAGTGATGAAAGTGTAGATGAACTTGCTTCATGGAGGGTGAGAATTGGCAAACAAGATTTCTAAATTATGATTTGCTTGTCACCAGACCAAGCGTTGAATGCTGATACATTGAATTGTCAATTTAGTTTGTCTCACTAATTTCTGTATATAAATTTTAAAGTTTTATTAATGTAGATGTGAATGTCTGTCTCAATAGAGTTTCCTTCGCTTTATTTGGTTTGAATTGATGACAAGATAGAAGAAAAAGGGGAAGAAACATGAATCTAATCGAATCTAGCTAGAGTAACATCGATACAAATAGAGTTCAAGTTTTTACTTACTTTTTTTGTGTACGAGAAGGATCATAGTTTACAATTTAGATATAAAGTCATAAGAATCAAAAAACAAACATATACAAAATACCCAAAGCTCACAATAGACCAACCAAACAAGAGAACACAACTATCATTAAAGAGAACAAACAAATCCAGACACTCTTACTGAGTTCAATTCAAGAAGCCATAGCCTTTAATTATGGACCAAATGTATTGCTTGCTTACTATGCATGTCACGTAATCAACCTCCGTAGATGTGTATACCAACAGCCAAGATGAAAATGGCATAGGCCACGAAGAAGATTAGGGTGTGGACTAGCACAGCCTTTCCATTGGTCTTGAAGCTGCCGAATTCCACGTGGTTGGAGTTCCCCGGCAACTGGAAGAGAAGCCCCGGCTGGAGAAGTATGAACAGAATTAGCCCAAGCAGTACTGGTCCCCAGTCCATCATTGTTGAACTTGAACCCTTCTTCTTTGAGGAGAGGGTGGTCTTGGTTGGTGGTTTCCTCCTGTATGGCATATAAAGCCTTGTAAAAGAGGCCTGGCATATTTTGCTTTGCTTTGTGTATGTTACTTGTTTCATATGGTGAGGGATTCCATCCTTAAGCTTTTCAGCTTTTTTACTATATGCAAAACTCTATCATCGGATTCTAAATAATGCAATTTTAAATTTCATTCAAAAGTTCCGATCGAATTATCCAACAGATTTTATTTTCACAATCCATATTCCAATCTGGGTATCGACAATCTGATCCAATCAAAATAATACGATTGCATGTTAATTTGAGTAAATTATGTATTAATTTCTACTTAATTTTTATCGAACCGAATTTATGAATTATGATGTAATGGATTTAAATGATGGAGAATGTTAAATAAATTTAAAAAATTGACTTAAAAACTGAATTGATGAATCGCTACCATTAAATAGGTAGTGGGTCGCAAAAAATACTAGGACCCACAGCTAAATCAATGACAAATATTACAATCACATCATCAAATCAAATCTTTAAGTCAATTTTTTAAGTCTGGGTAGCATTGTTCTTAAATGATAATTCAAAATATTAATTTATATCTAATTAATCAAATTCACATGTATGCTCAACCACTCACTGAGAGCTCTCAATTCCTACACGTTGGGACAAAAACGGAAGTATTAAGTCGAGATCCTCTTCATTACTCTTTCACTCGATGGTAAATCACCTACCATTAAATTAAGTGGGACTATCTATTTAAAAGTGGGTCTCTCACCTATTAATGATAAATAATCAATCTTTAAGTAAAACCGACTGAAAATATAATGGGGAAGATCTAGATTTGACAGCTCCTAGCAAAGGCCTCTTTCTTTTGTGCGAAGAAACGCATCTGTAGGCAGCAAGGAAGCTTGTACATGAGCATATCTTCCTTTTAAGCATGCTCTTCTTACAGAAAACTTGCACATCCAGTTTGCAATGTCCATGTGAAAAGTGCTTCCAATTACATGTGGGGGTAGTGGAGTGAAAGTTGGGGATATCAATGGATTTTTTGGTTTAGTTTTAATAGGTTTTGATAATAATCAAGTTGATCGGTCAATCTGTTTAATAAATATATAAGTCTATCCAAATTTTACGATACAGACCAAACCATTATAAATGGATTAGTCATTGATTGACTAAAATTTGATACAAAACACTTTAAATACGATAAAAATCCAACATGAAACCTATACATTTCCAACTTTTTTGTTTTTTTGCATGAACTCTCTGTTAATTTTACTTAATTATATTGGTAGACCATAACATTGTGAACCAATAAAGCTATGAATGGTCAAATTTTTTTTTATGAGTTTCATTAACAAGACGTCACTTAATGATTACTTGATTGTCTCTCACAATAGTTCTGTCAATTGATCGGATTCTTATCCGAATTTGATCTCTGAATTCAATTAGTCGGAGATGAATTAATATTTTTTTACTGATAATCTGAAATTGAAATCTTATATTTCACAAATTCGAATTTTGATATACATATATTCAATCTGATTATGATCCAATTCGAATTATTTGTATACTAGTTACAACCCGTTCCTGAAAGCACGATAAAATATAAAATTCGAGCATCAAAAAAATCGATCTCACTATTTTAAATTTTTTCAAAATAAATTAACTACAAATTAATTAAATATTAAATGATTAAATATATGATAGAAATGAGTGATGTGATATTTTTAGAGAGAAAATATATAAATGATTAAACATATAATAGAAATGAGTGATGTGATTTAACGTTTGAGTTTGATAAAGGGATGATGGGTGAGATACGTGATTGGTGATGGTTTTGAGGGAAAAAATATGACTGGGATAAAATTCAAACACACTTCTGTTTTATTATATAGATTTTTATATAAATATTAAATAAATTAAGTGATTATTTAAAGAAATTTAGATAGAATTTGTTATGATTTAGTTAATTAAGTTATTTGGGTCGGTATGAATCTTGGATTATTAATGGATTCAGATATAAACCACAAAAATAAAATTCATCGAATTGTTGGATTCGAATTTTAGATCGGTCAATATTCGTATCCATTAATAGGCATACTTACAAATATGCGTGATTGTGGGTTGGACTGGTCTAGGCTCATCTCATGTGTTAATACTTTCCAGGTTGGCCTTAGCCGAATATTGAATCTAAAGGGTTGGCCCAGCCCAACAAGACCCAAACACCTGTCTTTTTAGATAAGTTCTAAAACCTTGTGTTTCAATAGTCCTATTCTTAACGTGAATAATTTTAAAAAAGATGTTGGTAGTCGTTAAATAAATCTATTTAACACCATTAAATAAATTTATTGAAATCTTTCATATTTTATATTATAAAATTGACACATTTTTTCAAATAAGATATATAACTTGCGAAAATTGCATAAAATCTTATATAGCGAAATTTGTGTCACTTATAAGTTATCACATCCACATATTTATTTAACAAATATAATCAACTAGTCTTGATGATACTAAAAATAAAGTCATCTTCAAAGAGGACTTCCTCGACGACAACAAAAAGATAAATCCAACTCAACTCGAGCACAAGTCAAGGTCAAGCAGCCATTTTACAAACTAAAATGACTTGAGTCAATTAAAGAAATAAGGACAAAGAGTGTCTCTCAAGTCCAGACCTTAACTAAGGATAAGATTGTTAGTGTTATATCATCTACTTCTGGAAAGGTTACGTCAATGTAATCTCTAACAATTCAATATTTCCTCCAATATATTAAACAAATTGAGAGATCACACCATTATTATATAAAAACCACACTACCCTAGTGGTTAAATAAGTATACCATTGCCTTGCCCAAACAATGTGTTCAAATATACTCTCAAAAGAGTTGTAACCGTCTTCTTTTCCATCGAGCAATAGAAACCCCTAAAGCAAGAAACTTTATTACAGTAGATTAATCAAACTCTTTAGTTTTTGAACCACTTTGCTTCTAGTGAAGGCTTTAGTTTGTCATAAGGTTCCTCCTGTACGCCCGTCAATGGATTTGAGTATTTGCCGATAATGTCCTTACCGAAAATGAGTATGTATTGAGAGTGAAGGGATTGATTTCGCTCGCGCATTTATTTTCTGCTATCAATTTAGTTCAAGTTCGGTGAATATATCCTTGATAACATCCATACTTACACCGTCACTACATTGAATCCCTTTCTTTCTCATATTCTTGTAATTTAAGATCCATCATGTCTGATTATGAACAATTTTTTTATAATTAAGTATATATCAATTTTAATTAGGTAAAAATTAAATTCATTCGATAAATTTGTGTTGATTTCGTATCAGATTAATTATTTGTCTGTTGCTCATCATTTCCTGGTTCAAAGGCCACAACCATTTAAGGCCCAAACATGGTCACTTTTCACAAAATATTGGGCCTTTCATGGGCTCCACCACACGATTAAGCAAAATGCGAAGACCAAAACCACCACTAAAATTGAACGCTTCACGATTTCGCCGGGAGCTTCCCTCCGTTGGAGTTTGATTGACGTGTACCAATTCTATTGGTCGCGCTCCCAGAATACGCAGCCTTCGACCAAATTCAATTTCCAACAAGGGTAAATTTCATTTTGTATCTAAAAAATACAAGAATTTTCAATTTGTCCCTTAAATAATTAATTTTTTTATACTATCTCTTAACAAAATTAAAAAAGTTAAATATAATTCACCGTTTTATTTTTATTTGATCGTCTATCTTATTTCTGTTTGATATAAAATAGACAAACCATCGAATAAAAATAAGAAATTAAATTATATTTTAATATTTTTTATTTATTTGAGGAATAATGTAAAAAAATTAATTATTCTAAGGATAAATTGAATATTTTTGTATTTTTTAAGGGACAAAATGGGACTTCCACTTCTAAAAATCTCACCCTTCTTCCAATCTTATTATTGGTTTCCCTCCCTCTCGCTCTCTCTGGTCTTTCTTGCTCTTCGGTCGGTCCATTTTCCCGGAAAATTCACTATCAATTTTCCTGGAAAATCGATTCTTCCGATTGAACCAGCCCCTCTGACAACAATCAATCTCTTGTTATCTCTATCAACGTCTCTCTCCGTATAATTTCTCATTTCCCAAATCATAAAACCACCTCCGTCGGTGTTTAGTTTTGTATTTTCTTGATGAAATCTTGATTTTGTTAAGAGTTGATTTGTCAGGGTAATTTCTTCTGTGTGGATGTTCATTTTTTTATTTGTTATTTTTTTTTTTACTTTCTTGGTAATTTCTTTAATTGATTGATTTTGTTCTATGTTTGTTGCAGAGATTTGTTAGAGAGGAGGAATTGGAGAGATTAGTGTGGTGGTGTTGGTGTATGATAGAATAGTTGATGATGACGACAAGTCAAGGAGGTTCCTCAAGGAGAAGTATGCCGATGACGAGCTCATCGTCGCTGGCAAAGAAGACTCTCTCTTCTTCTCGCTCCATGTAGGTTCTATCCATCACATCCCTCTCCATTAATGTATTTTTATTCTTAATACTCTGTATGATTGTTTGATAAATTCAAGTCTTCCATATTATTGGAACTTCATTCGACATTTTATGTGTTTATGTGTGCCCCTCTGTCTTTCTTTAATCATTTTTGGCCTGTTTTCAGTTGAGGCTCAAATTGTCTTTTTTGTATAGTTTTCCTCGAATTGACGATTAATTGAGATAGTTATTTTTTTGCGCTCATATGTTTAGGATTGGTAATGTGTATTCAGAGCCTTGGCAGTCATGTGAATACTGCTTTTCTTCATTGCTGTCTTAGAAGATTTGGAAGTAAATAGTGTAACATTTGGGACATCTGAAGGTAGGGCATCCGGTATATAAATTATCTTAGTACCCCATGATAGCATTTCCGGTCAGTGTTTGCTTCCCAGATAGTGAATTGGTATTTGCACGAAGAGGCAGAATATTGTTTTCGACAACTTATCTCCAGCATGGAACCCTATATGCCTCCATCGCCTAAGTTTTTATACCAACTTCCCCTGGTCTGTTTTCTGGGGCAGCTTTCTTTTTGGCTCATTACCCTTAGCCTGCAAGTATGTGCCTTGCCAGTAGTCTTGGCTATGGTTTGATTGTTTTTTTTTTAGCCTTTCCTTTGGGTTGTAAGAATGTTGTGGTGGTCAAGGCTGCCATTTTTCCTTTTGTTTTATCTATTTCATCTTCAAAAAAGGGGGTGGGGTGGGGTGGTGAGAAACATCTCCTCTTATACGAGATAAGATTTGGAAGTTCACATTGTAAAAGTGCTTCATATTTTAAATTCATTAACCAGATAAATAACTTTGCTAGTACGCCCTATTTTTTCCTCAGAACCTTGGGTGTAGAAACTGTTGTGGAAATAATTATTTTGTCTTTTTTTTTGTCGTGGGATGTGGTGGGGGATTAATTTCTGTATTTGGTCTCATATTGATAAAATTTGGTGAGTTTGGTTCTAGATGGTAAAAATGTTTCCAGATGATTTTAATATCCATTATGCATTGACTTCACCAACTTGATTAAGCGGGACTTTCTTGTGTAGTGGTCATGAGCAAGAACTGTTATTGAGGGACCATGATTTGAGAGACTGTATTATACTTATTCACTTGTTAGTGGAGACACCTAATTAATCTTATGAAGCTTTAGCATAAGAGGGCAAATCCAATGACACCTTGCCACAGCACAAATGACAAGATAACTAAGAAAGCTAAATTCAGAATTAGGACAGCCGTGTAATATCTAAGAGTGATGATACATTTTCACATGTATTTGGAACAGGGGACTGGCTGGAGAGCGTACAGTGAAGCGGTTACGGCTGTCAAAAGCCCTGACTGTACCTGACACTACAAGTATTCATGAAGCTTGCCGTCGGATGGCCGCTCGTAGAGTTGATGCTTTATTGCTGACTGACTCAAATGCATTACTCTGTGGAATCCTGACAGATAAGGTTTGACTTGAATCATTTGTGAATTATGATAAAAAGGAAAGGTGCTTCACTGATGTGGATTTCGTTCTTTTAAATGATCATTTCATATTCAGTTTTCTTTTTATTTTTTTATTTTTTTTGTGATTGAAGGACATAGCAACACGAGTCATTGCCCGTGAGATTAATCTTGAGGACACACCTGTTTCGAAGGTTATGACCAGGAACCCACTTTTTGTACTCTCTGATACTCTTGCTGTGGAAGCCCTGCAAAAGATGGTCCAAGGTTGCTGTTAGCTGAAAACATCACATTTTTTTATTTTTCAAAACTACTGTTCTAAGTGTTACCCATTTCCTGATATTTTTGTCCACAGGAAAATTCAGACATCTGCCTGTTGTGGAAAATGGAGAGGTTATTGCTTTGCTTGATATAGCAAAATGCTTATATGATGCTATTGCTCGTTTGGAAAGGGCAGCTGAAAAGGGAAAAGCCATTGCAGCTGCTGTTGAAGGCGTTGAGAAACACTGGGGGACATCTGTCTCTGGTTGGTGGAAACTTTTCTCAATAATTCGCTTCCGCTGATCTACCTTCCTGCTTGTTCTTTCATTTTTCTCTTCTTTTTAATATATTCATATTTCTTTTTCTTTTCATTTCTTTTGAAACTCTTCAAGAGACATGAGTTTCACTTAACCTTTCCATTTATTGGTTGACATACAGGTTCTAATACATTCATTGAAACACTTCGAGAGCGAATGTTTAGGCCCTCCTTGTCAACAATCATTTCTGAAAACTCAAAGTAGGTAATATCTTCACTTTTAGTATATTTTCCTTGTAATTTGGTATGGTCATTTGTACAGGACTTCATCTAAGTCCTAACATTACCAATTTATGAGTTAGTTTGTTCCATTGACTGTGGCATTGCCAGGATTGTTACTGTTGCACCAACCGACACCGTACTAATGGCAGCAAAGAAGATGCTTGAATGTCGAATAAGCTCTGCAGTTGTGACAGTTGAGAACAAACCAAAGGGTATCCTGACGTGAGTACCTCGGTATTGCAATATTATAGTTACTTGGAATAATGACTTGCACTTTCTAATATATTACCAGTTCCAAGGATATTTTGATGCGAGTAATAGCACAGGATCTTCCCCCTGATTCAACTATAGTGGAAAAGGTAATATTCTCATTATAATGGCTGGTGGAATCTGATTCATCCATTTCTTCTGAAATCCTTTATAAGTTAGTTTCCAAGTGAATTTCTGCTTTTATAGTGACCGCATGTTGACCTTTGACAGTATTCTTTCAATATACTCTAGGTGATGACCCCAAATCCAGAATGTGCAACAGTTGATACACCTATTGTTGATGCTCTGCATACCATGCATGATGGGAAATTTTTACACCTTCCTGTTGTCGATAGAGGTAAAATACCATCACAAGTAGTCTGAAAGTTTGTGCATAAAGTACTGGATGATTGCGTAAAGTTTTCTGATGATTGTGGAAAATTCGATGCAGATGGAATTGTAGTTGCTGTCATTGATGTACTTCATATTACTCATGCTGCTGTAGCTACAGTAAGTCAAGTTTCTATCTTGCTCGGACAGACAGAAAACTGTTAATCGGAATACTTGTGGGTCAGATAGTTGTTTAGATCTGCATAACAAGAGTATTGCAAAATTATGCTCCATCGGGAAATTTCTGCTCACATTTTTGCTGTCCTTTGCACACTTTTCTATGTGCATAGGGCTTAATGTTATCCAAGGAGTCGAAAGCCTTGCAATTGTTACAGCAGTCTCTGGGGGTGCATTACAATGTTGCACTTTTATGAGTTTTTTGATAACATGTGTCACAGGGATCAAATTTGCACTCAAAAATTTGTCTTATGATGACACTAAGATCCAACACTTAGTCTCAGCAAAACACTCAAGAGGCTCACAGAGAGAATTTAACAGACACCTGGGAGACACTCGAGTGACATGACCAATGTCCCCACCTTTTTACTTTCTCCAATGCAAGGTACAAAGGAGTTTGGCTAAGGGTCTATTACAAAACATCTGTCTTCCCTTTTTGGTTACTTCGGAGTCTAGCAAATCTTATTTAAAGGCTATAACTGCAGTTACAATACAACCCAACTGCCTTGACATTGTTGGCACCAACCAATTTTGGCCAAATACGTCAATACATCTCCAACTAGTAGGACATCCTGGCACATATCAGAATTCGCTACAAGGGATTGGTTGGTTATCCTAAAAACCACCTGGTTTGTCTGAACCAATCAGAGCCATCCCTTCATTATTGGAGCAGTTGTGCCTTCGTACTGTCCATGCAATCGGCAAAAGTCTTCCTTGTCAGCCCACAACATGTGACCTTTCTTTGCCAGTGTGCCAAGCCATGCTCTGCCCATGGCTTGGTCTTCTAAGCATGCAAGATGGCTCAATTAAGCTCACATGGATATGCCTTGCCTTGCTTTGTTGTGCCCATGATGTGGTGCCTCCCTCAGCCATGATGTGCACATTTCTCATGTGTCAGACTTTGCATGTAAAGCCTCACCCATGGACAGCATTCTTGGAGGTCATGCCTTTCTTTAGCATGTCAAGGCTAGGTGGCACATTGGTTGTCGGTCAAATTCTCCTTAAGGAACCAACCCCCATTTTTATATATGCATTATGAAGGAAAACCAAATTGACAACATTTGACATCAGGATGTTCGAGGGGTCATATTGCCCTATTTGCAAGACCACCACTTTGCACAAATCCCTTAGCATTTTCAACACTGCCACCATCAAGTAGCACACAACTAAGTCCTTTAGGATCCATCTAGCATATTATAAATGTTTAGTCAAGCATAACCCCACGTTGACTTTGGCATGTGTCGGCATTGGCAAGCCAGCCACATGCCTTAGCCATGCAAACTTGTTAAGGGGCTAACACCATGCCACTGCATTGATGGCATAGAGTTCACTGATTTCAGTTGCTTGATGTCTGGCTAGAGTATAAAAAGGCACTTTGGTGATAAGTGACGAAAGATCATTAAACCTTGCACAGTTTTGTTGTAAAGTCCGCCTTTAATGCCCACACTGAAAGTAAAGAGAAGCAATATCTTTGGCTCTGGCTATTTTGCTGGACTCAAAAAAATACGAAACTCAATGACCTGTAGATTGCATACTGGTTGATTTCCTGGTGGGTCTCTTTTGTATGTCTGTTACTTTGTTGAACCCATCCCACCATTTGCAAGACCTTCGTATGTTTAATAAGTTTCAGTTTAACAAGAACTTCTAGCCTTATTGGGGAACTCCATATGTCTGTGACCATCTTCTAGCAAAAGAAACATTTCAAAATACCATCTTATGTGGTCCTAGTCCGCATGAACATTGGGAAGCTTTCATGGGCCTCTTTTTATTCTCTGATCAGCCTTTTGTCTTCTAGTTCTCCAGCATCCCTAGATTTTTTACCCATCTTGTTGAAGCTCCATGTGTATAACCATTTGCGACAGGTTAGGTAAAACAAGATTTCTTAGTACTATATTACCTAGATCAATTCTAGGCCAAAGTTTGAGACTTAACTAATCCCATTCAATGGCGAAATAGAGCTTGAAGTTTTTGTCCACCTTAACTAGAATCTTGGACATGGAAACCTTGCAGTCGGTTCTGAGCAAATAAAATTGGATGAGGACCATTCTAATATGCCAACAAATATATCCCTTCTTCCAAGTGCTGCAATTTCTACTAATCTTTTCTACTGCAAATATATCGTATTCCTTTGACCTGGTGTTTTTTTTTTTCATCTGCTTTGGCACACATTTTCTATAATTTTAAATTTTTGGCTTTTTTTCTGCCATCTACATGTGTGTTTCTAGGACTATCATTGTAGCCATTATAGTGATTAGCACTTCTGTAATTGTGGAACATGATTTAATTGTCAATAAAAGTTAAGATCACATGGTGACTTACTTTTTTTAACATGAGGACATTGTTGTAATTACATTGTTATTTATTTCTCGTCTTGATTTTCTTATTGCATCTTCAGCATGTTATTTATTGCAAGTACAGCAGGACTTATCTGTATTTACATCTGAAAAGTCTTCTCTTTGTTCTTCTTCCTTGGGCTTATGTACAATAGATTGTGGAAATTTATATGGTCTCATTATTTCTCACGTTTACAAGGTGGGAAGTACTACTGGAGTTAATAATGACGCAGCAAATACTATGATGCAAAAATTTTGGGATACAGCCATGGGATCAACTGCTGATGATGAGGAAGATACACATAGGTTTTAAGACTTTGCTGCAAACGTCCTATACAGTTTTGATTTGTATCTTTGATTACTTAGATGTTTTCAGTGATTCTTTCTTCCAGCGAGAGCTCCTTGAAATTGGCTTCTGAAGGGGCAGAGACAGGGAGAACTCTTCCTTATCCATCGTCGACCCTGCCTAATGCGTTTGCTTTTAAAATTCAAGATAAAATGGGCCGGATGCATAGGTTCAATTGTGGTATGCTTCTTATTCTGTTTCTCGCATTAGGCACACATCAGATGGCTGTAAAATTGAGGCAGTCCATTCAAGAAGTGCACACTTGCAGCTTATAGCTGCAGCCCTGATTACTCCATCTGAGATGGATTTAGATGATTTAGCACTGAGACTGATCTCTAGATCTGGACTTGAATGAAACTAAATATTCCTTATAGATCAGTGAGGAAACATAAGAAATCTGGCAAGTGAAGTAAATTTAAACATTTTGTGAATGGATTCTTTGTTCTCCTATCTTATGTTTGATTACCTTCATTTGTTGCTTATTTTCATTTCAGATATTCAAAGTTTGACAGACCTCATAACTGCAATACTCCAAAGAGTGGGGGATGACATTGACCGCAACAACCTGCCTCAGATTCTGGTATATCTTGATGATATACATAATTAAGTTTGGATTGTTTTTCCTTTGGTGTTCGGTTTTCCTGGCTCCAACTTTTATGCTTAAAAGTGACCACATTCTGTAGTATGAAGACGAAGACCATGACAAGGTTGTGCTTGCATCAGATGGTGATCTTGCAGCAGCTGTGGACCATGCAAGGTCAGTTGGTTGGAAGGTATGATTGGTCTTTCTCCTGTTCGTTATAAAGTGTACCTGAAAGACATTTTATGCGGTGAAGCGAACCTCTTTGGCCATAATGGCAAGAGCGCTCTAGAATGGGATTTTAATAACTAGGCAAGTAGCTATTATTTTTTTTCCCTTGTTCATCAATCGAAGTTTGACATGTTAGAGATTGACAGGGGTTAAAATTGCATTTGGATTACTCGGGAACACCTAGCCGTAGAAGGGGTTCTGGATCTGGAGGTTTGGATTATGCTCAGGCAGATGCATGGGCTTCGGCATACAGTACTGTTGCGGCTGGTGCTGCACTGGTTGCTGGGCTAGGTGTATTAGCATTCTTGAGGCGAGCTGGTAATTGATTGTTTTTTAAAATTCCCAATTTATATAAATTGATTTTTACGGAGCAGCAGAAATGAGTTGCTCCGGAACTAGAAACTAGCAGGCAAAATTTGATTTCTTTGGAAGCAAGAGTATACTCATTGTGTGGCTTGTAGAATATAATGCAAAAATGAAGCTATTTTTCTGTGCCTGCTATACCAAGGCTTACTTCTGTGATTGTCTACCACTGTGAACTCCTTGTCACATAAGAGCTTTGCAGCTTCCTTTGTTTTGAAGTGTCTACAGTGAATATAATGTTATTTGATTTAGACACTATTGTCCGTTGGTACCTATTATCAAAACCTAACAAAAAGTTATATTTGTTCATCCAATTTTGGAACCCTAGTTCTACCTTTATTACATTGCTAAGAGACAAACACTGGTTCTGTACTATTCAAACTTGGTAGATGCTATTAATAAGATTTTTTTGTGCTTTGCTCTTCTTGGTTATTACTGCTTCGCCTTGGATGGCATGTGAGAGAATAAATTATGTAATAGTTATTACTTTGCCAGTATGGAATAATGTATTAGTTAATGAAGTAGAGAAACAATTTGGTGTCCATTTCAAATAAAATATTCGTAATTATATATATATATATATATACTCATACACAGCTCTATGTGGCTATCATTGTTTTTGTCTCTTCGTTTTTTTCCACTATATACATGTACCAATAATAACTGTGTCGGAAGATATTCTATAATATTAAAAATTGAACATTAATTGTGGATTATTTATATTTAAACAGAGTGAAAACAAGAGAGGTATGTGATGATTAATGGGGTTGTTTGGTATTGGAGTGTGTGTTGGTTGAATTGTTTGATATGAGGGGTCGTGTAGAGAAGATGTTTTTTTAGAGAGAGAAAAAATTTTGAGATGAATTTTATACTATTAGATCAAAGAATAATTCTGATCAATCTCGACCGTTTTTATGCTTTTATAAATTAAGAATTCAATTTTAATATAGTAGAATGGATTTAGTTTACTATGAACGTTAGCTAAATGTCCCAATAGATATTGTGATTGGTTCGACATGATGATTATATATACATCTTGACTTTTGTGTTGTCGCGTCGAGTACAAAAATATATAGTCCAAACAGTTTTTAATTGAATATAGAAATTGAAAACATTAACAAATTTTGTGACCCTCTATTTGTAAAATTAAAGCAAGGGTTTTTTATTTATTTATTATTTTTTTTTTATAAGAAAAAGAGAAAAAGAATGATTAGTAGGTAGTAACTCTCCGTGAGAGAGTCCTTCTATTGTGGAATGTGTGGTTTAAGTTATAATTATTAATCTGAAAAGATAGTTTATTGTTACAAAACTATCAAAGTCGAGTAATAAATTGCATTTCTCTTGTACTTAGTAATCATATGGCACAAATACCCATGCACATGCTCGGTGGTAGCAGTTTTCAAGAGCAAAAAAACTCGAGCAAAAGACTCCTTAAAGATCGAGCGCCAATTTGGAGGGTAAAATGTTATTTAAATGAAGAAGAACAACCACCTTAAGAATAGTGTCGTTTTGAGTTTTGAAATATATTCATGGCCAAAGCTAGGGAAATTTAGAGACGATTTTAAAGGAGTACGACTTATCACTAGACTAATCAGAGTGATTGGTTACTTTATGTATTAGAATATGAACACTAGACCCTAAACCAAAAATAAGTAATAAAAAACACATTTAAATTCAGCCATGTTCTATGCCATCCAAGTCTCTGTCGGTGAGTGGCCCAATCTAAGTAATTGGCATCTACTTTGCTTGCTTTTATTTAATCACCAGTCTAATCTTTTGGCTTCTTGTTCCCCCACCCACTTTATTTTTCGGATTTGAGCCGACCATAATTCTATATATATCCAAATTTGCACTAAATCAATTATCATCGTTAGATCAGTAATAAGATTCACTGATCCAAAAATTATAAGTGATTTAATTCAAGTTTTAGTACAATTAACATTACTTTGAAACAAAAGAGGAGGGGGGACATCCGAGATAATGTGACGTATAATTTTTTTTATGTGGAGAAAATTTTTCAACGTTATATTGAACCACCATCATATATATTGATTAAACTCATGAGTCACTAGCGAGAGCACGTTGAAATTTACGATTCACCACAAATTAATTCCATACTACTGAACTACTTATATACAATTTGAAATCACCAATGCTTCATGTAATTAGAAAATGTCCACCAATATGAGTCGCACAATACTATATATCATTCGGGGCTATAAGTCATCTCAAACATTTTTTTGTTACATTTTTGGCAGATCACTTGTAATATATTAAAGATAAACTCACTTTAATATAATGAATCTCTATAGGCAATTTATTAAGAAAAAAAATAGATATGAGGGGATTTGGAATCACCATTTGTAATTTATTTTTTGATAAAAAAATTTAATCACTCTTTTTTTTTTTTTTTTTGCTATGAATAATGATGCAAGGTTGTCATTATCGTTGATGGAAGTGGTGCAATACCGAAAAGCGAAGCATTAAAAGAAAAGAAGTAACATGGAATGCCTCTCACTGTCACATGTACCCCCTGTTATCTTTGTGGATGTGACACATTAATGATCAAGTGATTCCAAACTCCTTTGTCAATCTTTATTTACACTTTCACAGTAAGGACAACAGGGACTATTTTTTTTTTATTTTTTTTTCATAAAGGAGGGGGAGTTAATTTTCTAGTGAGAGTGACTCGTGTAGGTAGGACGGTTCTCGATTATTAAATTTGTTTTTTTTTATCTCTTAATAAATTGGATTAATTGTGATAAATAATCATTTTAATCACGACGATAGTAGATTATACTAGTTTAAGACTAAAAAGGATGTGCTCGTTTTGAGCCTTTTAATCTTGCACTATTGCATTGTAGATGTCCTATCATGTAACAACTTAGCTACCAATTTGAAATGTTTACACCTGAAAATAAATAAAGGAAGAAAATGAATATTTTTTGGTTTATTATAAATTAAGGTAATCATCCGAGCTGATAGTATAGTGATAAGTTATACCCGTTTAAGATTGTCTCAAACTCCAATATAGTTATCAAGTAGAATTCGATCTACGGAAGGTATGTGATTTGCTATTTGACTTTAGTGGTATTTGTAGTAATCGGACTGTTCTTTTGAGTAGATAATTATAACTCAAACTAGACATTTTATAGTGGATGACTCTCATAATCACACCCAAGTGAGATACTACCTATTTGTCACCCTTTTCCCTTTTTACCTAAAGAAAAAGAAAAAAAAAAGTAACTAAGGGAAGATAATTAAATAAAATTTAAATAAACAACATGGTACAAAAAACTTCCCCAATTAACAAAGGCCCAAAGAGATGCAATATAAAATTAACCAACTCCTTTATTAAATTTCATAATCTTAATGCTCCAATATGTTATAAATTATTTGCACAATTTTTACATAATTCAAATCTTACAAATAGAAGGTTTGTCGTTATTCTAGTGACCACCATCCTGCTATTAAACCTTAAAATAATAAATTCAAATCTCTATCCCCTCTCAATAATAATTTGATATTACTCTCAATGAAGTGAACTAATGGATACTCTACTCTACTTCCATTGGTGTAGGACATGAGAGAACAATGGCCTTCTACATATACGTTTAATTACAACATATATTGGTTTGATTAGATATTTGAGTTCATTTTATAAACAGGTATAGCCCGAATTAATGTGTAGCTAGATTCGAGTTGGTTTAGCTCGATTTCAAGAAATTATTTTTAACACATAATCTTAGTTGTATGACAAAATAACCTTAAACTTATCTTAAACAAGTCTAAATATGCATCCCTCTATATCTCTCTTCTCTCACATATGTTTAGAAATTTGAACTTTCATAGCTTGATTTTGTGATTGGTTGTACATATTTTGAGAGATTTTTATGATTGACTTGTAAATTTTGGGGTTCAAATTTCAAAAAAAAATAATAATTATAGAGTTCGAGTTTAACTAAAATGCTCGCAAGCTTCCACCAAGTCGAGCTTGGCTCAATTAATAACTTTAAATGCTTGCCAAAAATTATACAAAGAGCATACCCTTAGTCACATAAGCTTCCGTAAATTTCCTCTGGGAGCAAATTCTCTATGAACTCCCGCTCGTATTTTATAAAATTTGCGAATTGAATTTTTTAATTCACGAATTCGATTAATTCACGCTCTTACTTACTTATATGTTTGCGCTCTTGCACCCGTTTCCTCTCCCGCTCTATATGAACTATATCATTCCCCCTTTCAAATTTGCATCAGAATTCATAAGTGACCTTGATTTCGCCATATCCATTTTTTTTTTTTGAATATCTTGTTAAAGTGATATATGGACTTCTTCATATGAAACTGAATTTGCTGAAAATATGGGGGCGTTGGCTACGTTTCACCCCTATTTACTCACCCATTAAAGCCTCTCAGGAACCACTAAATGTCATCTGCCTTCACCTTTACACCTCTCTGAAACTGACAAAAACCAGAACTTTCCTTTTTTTCTTGATACCTTTAATCCCTACTCTGCCACAGTGAATGCACCAATCCCTCTCTCTTTCTTTCATTCCATTCATGGCAAAAATCTCAATCCCAATAGGAATGTTGTTTTTATAACAACAAATTCACCTATATATTTTCATAGATGTACACACCTGTGTGGTTAGAAGAAGTATTCTTATTGAATTCTCCACTGGTACTTCCATTGTCTCTCTGTCTCTCTCTCGCCACCATTTGCATCCAGAGAGCCAGAGAAATAGCAGAACCCACATTAACCAGAAGTTTCAGAATCAATCATGGGAAGTAACAGAGCCAAAACACCTCCATTTTCTTCCACTTTCTTACTCTTTCTCACTCTTTCCTGTGTTTTCCGGGACACCCACCAACAACAGCAGCAACCCATCAAAACCATTGTTGTGTTGGTTTTGGAGAACAGATCTTTTGATCACATGCTTGGATGGATGAAGAAATCCATCAACCCATCAATCAATGGTGTCACTGGAAAAGAGTGCAATCCAGTTTCAACCAAGACACAAGACACTGAATCAATCTGCTTCACTGATGATGCTGAGTATGTGGATCAGGATCCAGGACATTCATTTGAAGCTGTGGAACAACAGGTATTTGGCTCTGGTTCCATTCCTTCAATGTCTGGCTTTGTGGAACAAGCACAAACCATGCCACAAAACCTCTCAGAAACAGTTATGAAAGGGTTTAAACCAGAAAATGTGCCAATTTTTGCTACACTAGTTCGCGAATTCGCAGTTTTTGATCGTTGGTTCTGCTCAATTCCTGGTCCAACACAGCCCAATAGGCTATTTGTGTACTCAGCAACTTCTCATGGATCAACCAGCCACGTGAAAAAGCAATTGGCTAAAGGGTACCCCCAAAAGACCATATTTGATTCACTTCATGAAAATGGGAAAGATTTCGGAATTTACTTCCAGAACATACCCACAACATTGTTCTACAGAAATTTGAGGAAATTGAAGTACATTTTCAAGTTTCACCTATTTGACTTTAAGTTCAAGAAAGATGCTAGAAATGGGAAGCTTCCAAGCTTGACTGTAATAGAACCAAGGTACTATGATCTTAAGGGAATTCCAGCAAATGATGATCATCCCTCACATGATGTAGCTAATGGGCAGAAGATAGTGAAGGAGGTTTATGAGGCATTGAGAGCTAGTCCTCAGTGGAATGAGACCCTTTTGGTGATTACTTATGATGAGCATGGTGGGTTTTATGACCATGTACGTACTCCTTATGTTGATGTTCCTAACCCAGATGGAAACACAGGTCCTGCTCCTTATTTCTTCAAGTTTGATCGCCTTGGTGTTCGTGTTCCCACGATTATGGTCTCTCCATGGATCAAGAAAGGAACTGGTAAATTCCTTTTTTTCCTATCTTGAGCATTTTGTGGCTTTTCTTGTATTCAATGAATGTTGTTAGTTAGGGTTGATAATTAAACGAACTCAAGCCGAGGTTAAAAAGTTGGTTTTCTTAATCAATTCTAAAAAAATGTTCAAATTCGGCTCGTTTTCTAAACGAATTGGGCTTAAATAAAAAAGGGAAAAATTGATTAAAAAAAATCTCATTGTAGTACAATTTCACCAAATTGAGTTGTAACCTCATTTTTTATTGTGTAGTAACTGCTATACGATGACGCCGAAAAACATACTTTTTAAAGTCTTACCCTAATAATTATATTTGTGCATATAATTTTATCTGCATTGACAAAGAATGTCCAGTTTTTTAAAGGTTTTCAATTGGAGTAGCTGTTTGAAAATTTAATGGCTTTAACTTTTGCAATCCTCTCTTTGATGAATTTGTTTAACATAGTGTCAGATTGAGGAGGAGATCAATTTGGGTTAGTGTGTGTGTGTTGATGTTATTGGGTTTTTCTATAAAAAATTCTTAAAACTTCGCAAGGGAGATATCATATGTTTCAATTTCTTTGTTCTGATGTTTCAAACTATTCTTATCCGCAATGGTCGCTGTCTGAAAATTGAGGTTTTTGGCCTTTACGATTGTGTAGAAGGTATTTTAGGGCTGCTATGTTCGTATCCCCTGATTATAATTGAAGTGATCTCGTGCAATCTCATGCACGGCCATCATTAAGTCGGTTGGGCTGCCTGTGGCTGGGCAAAAGTCTCCTTGACTCTCTCTCTCTCTCTCTCTCTCTCTCTCTCTCTCTCTCTATATATATATATATATATATATATATATACATATAAAAGCTTTCTGCATCATCAGCGGTGGCACAGGTTTTTCTCCCTTCTGCCCAGTTTCCCAAAAACAACGTTCGATTTGCATGTGTTAAGCATATAGCTAGTGTTCCTTCTAACTCAAGATCAAACTCTTCTTTTGAGTATGAAAAAAGATGGGTTCTATTCTATCTGGTAGAGTCAACAATGTGTTTTTCACTTGTTATACTGTGTATGTAGTGATAAGCAGCCCAAAAGGACCAGCTCCAAACTCTGAGTTCGAGCACTCATCAATCCCTGCAACCATAAAGAAAATGTTCAACCTCTCCTCCAACTTCTTGACTCACAGGGATGCTTGGGCTGGCACATTCGAGCAGGTTGTTGGGGAATTGACATCTCCAAGAACAGATTGTCCAGGTAAGCATTTGAAAAGGGTTCACTTCTGGGCTTCTTGAGTTCGAATATCACTGACCGTACAAAATCTGAGCTGAACTGATGCATAGGTTTTATAAGTGATTACGTCATCTAAGGTTTGTATTGTAGCCATGAATCCGAAAGGCCCATGGTGAGATGATTCTCCATTACAAAAAAAAAAGGTCCAATATGTTCTCACCTTTAAGGATCAATATTTCGATTTAGTGCATTGTTTCTATCATCTTGGAAATGGAACATTTGAAAATATTCAGGAAATGGTAACGTATAAAGAAATCTGAAATTTGATTCTAAATCATCTTGAAACATTCCAAAACCTTCAGAAACATTTCAAATTCTGGTATGTAATCACTGGTTTGTTTCAATTTCGTACCAGCTCCGAATTGTTTATGTTCTTTTGGTGGAAATGATACGAAATTTTTGAACTTTCGGGTCTCACAGAAGGATAATTTCTGAACTTCTTTGTCTGTAATGTGTGGTTGCAGAGGTCCTCCCAGAGGTGGCTCCATTGAGAAACACAGAAGCAGATGAAAACAGGGGACTGTCTGAGTTTCAAACTGAGGTAGTTCAATTGGCTGCTGTGCTTAATGGAGACCACTTCCTGAGCAGTTTCCCAGATGAAATGAGCAAGAAGATGAGTGTGAAGGAGGCTCATGAGTATGTGAGAGGTGCAGTGTCAAGGTTCATAAGAGCAAGCAAAGAGGCCATCAATTTGGGAGCAGAGGAGTCTGCCATTGTGGACATGAGGTCCTCTCTCACCACCAGATCCTCGGTGCATGATTAGAGAAATCCCCATGGTGTATCCACCTTCTTTTTTTTTTTTTCAGCTTAGTATTATTTTAATTTTTTTTCGAGTTTTTAGTAAAAGTAATATTATTTAGACTTAATCTGCTGACCTAATGAAGTGTTTTCATTGTAACTGTTGGATGAATACTAAGTTCTAATATTTCATGGGACTCACAGTCAATCCAATAGTTACCGTGAATTAGGTCAGTAAATTAGGTTTAAATAACATTGCTCTTTTAATAAACATTGTTAGAACTATTTGATGATTTCTATGACCTCTTCAAATTGACTCGTTTGAAGTAGTCATGGAAGCAAGTAGTAACGAAATCAGCTTCACAAATTGAATTCGATTTCACTTCAATTAATATTACTAAACTGCACAAGCCCCCTGCAAGAGAGAGAGAGAGAGAGAGGGTTTGTGGCAGATCTAGTCCACTCAAATATGGCCCACTGAGATTTGGGTTGGATATGATTTTTCAGCCTAAATCCCAATCCCTTGTTTGGTTTGACACCAAATTCAATCGGTGGGGGTCCATATATCCAGCATGATTCTTTATTTTGCATCTATCTCTCTAAAATTTGTGGGGTTGAAAGAAGATGTACTCAAATATAGATTCAATATCTTGAGATTTGTTATCCATCCAGATCCACAAATTTTTATGTCCCCCCCCCCCCCAATGATTTGGTACAGGGTGTTCAAGTTTATACCGACTAATCTTTTAAACTTAGCGACTAAGCACCGTGGCCTAGACTATCCGGCCTACTTGAGTGTATTGATTTGGACCTAAGATATGATCCAGCCAAATATGTCAATCAACATGTAAAGGTAAATGGCACAATAAAATGAAACAGCTCCACAACAATTGCCAAACACTTGCTTATTCAACTGTCAAGAGATGGGACTTGAACTTGAGCTTGTTGGTCTTTTTGAGTTTTTGCGATTGCATATGTTTAAAATTTGCATGTATTCTTTTATGGGTTCATAAAATAAAATAAAATTAAAAGATTCAAGTCTCCTCAAATACATTTTTTTCTTCAATTTCTTCTCGGTAGATCACATACCATTTGAGAGATTCAGTTATATGTAATGAGTTTTATTTGAATACATGGTAGGTGATTCATCAAAAGAGATTAAAGAAAATGTATATTAAAGGATCTGGTTTTGCTACGAATGAGTAAATATTCAATGTAATAGTTACACCACATCACTACCATTACATGGTATAATCAACCAATAATAAACCAACAAACAAATAAGATAAGTAAACCTCACTGATCTTACCTAATAGTTTTAAATGTGAAAGTTATTGGTCATTATATATATAATAAAGTAATTAGATGGTATATCTTGAACTTTTTACGGTTTAGATCGCTTTGATCAAATAGTTCTAATTAGACTTTCACTTTTTTACAATTCTAAAACTCTCATCGCTTATATAACTTTATCTATCTATTCTCTCTCTCTCTCTCTCTCTCTCTCTCTCTCTCTCATACAATTATCTTTTTTTGTTTCCTATGTGTTATTTTTGTTATTATTTACTTCATAAAACAGATGAAATTACATGTTATATAATTATTTATTTCATGAAATTAATTCAAAATTTGTATATATTTGACGGCATGTATGTTGTCACTTACTTCTTAATTTGTAAATAACACTTAATGTAAATAAAAATATCACATTGACTATAAACACTAAATAATATTAAACATGAAATGAACTTTAGATTGTAAATTAGTATTTAATTTTATCAAAAATTGAAATTTAATTTTGTCCAATTTTTATTGAACTTTGTCAAATTAATATTGAAATTTATTTAATCAATTTTTTTGGTACAAAATCAAATTTTATTTGATTTTATTAAAATTTTAATTTGTTTGGGACTACATTTGTAGAAGGGCAATTGTAAAAATAATAAAATTTTTGAGATGAAAATATTTATTTTCGTTTGTAACATTGACAGAACGGAGTGTAATAAATTTCAAACATTAGAGGGTCTTTGTATTATTTATAAAATATTAAAAGGTGTATGTGTAATATTGCCAAAACACAAGGATGTCTGTGATATTAATTTATTATTATTTTATCTTAAAAACTTGAATTATTGTATTTCTAATAAAATCAACTAAATATTACCCATTTATAATTGTATTGTGTCATTTGGGGAGCAAGATTGTACTCTGTTAGTAATTTTTTTTTTTTTGGCTTTAGATATTTATTTAAAGGGGATAGAGTAGATTGAAAATATGATAGTTGAGTTTATAATTATTATATATTATTGGATTGAGTCGTAATAAAAGTAATAAATTTGTGAGTCTTATAAATAAGTAAAATTTTATTTATTACTTAAAAATAATAAATTTCAATGAGTTATGTTAATATTTTTTTTTTCTAGGGACATTTGTATATATAATATTATTTTACAAAATTTTTATATATTTTTATGACAGTTCCATTAATATAGAGAATATGGTGGACAAATATTTTTAAGCCTTTCCTTTTGAGTTTGAAAAATTATTTAAGATTTTTTTATTTGTTCTATAATGTCTTCAAACACGCACAATGACTAAAAATTTAATAAAAACCACTAGACCTACATAATTTTTCATAATTGATCAATTACACTACATGACATAATGCAACCGTTACATTAAATATCTTCTCGCAACAGATCCAGATCACAATAAATAGAGGGAGTTGTCTATTGTACCCTAAAAAACCTTCTGGTACTATACTAATATTTATTAGTATTTTTATTACTATTGTGGAAGTTTTACCATTGCTATGGTACCTACTATATTTGTGAATATTTTTATTAGTATTATAAGCATTTTTATCATTGTTGTAGTACCGCAAAAAAATGGTAAAAATAACAATCACAATAGCGGTAAAAACACCAACAAAAATAGTAAAATTTTAAATTGTAAAATGACCCACAAAAATTGTAAAAACACATTAAAATAATAAATTTTAAAAGTACGGTACCGAATTATTTTTTGGATACCATAATCAAGTACTAAATGGAGATGAAACATCTAGTTGTCGATTCTCAATAATTAAATTTTACTGGATACCCTGAACAATTCAAAATCATTCATCGGCCAGAAGAAATGTAATTCATTGAAGCTTGTATGATGTTAGCTGAGAATTAATCAACATATTGTCATTCAAATGACAATAAAAAACACATTCTTCTCATCTACTATATATTTGGACAAACATTTCATCAGGTGATCATCTACACTATTTAACAAAATAAGGCATTCAAACCATTTTGGCGTTTACCAATAGACACACATTTCGCATGTTTGAAGAAATTATGAAATGAAACATAATTACCTAGATGAAATTCTTGGACTCAAGCCTCTATTTCAGGAATCATTAAAGACATCTGAACCTCAAACAGAACAAGGACTTTGCCATGTTGATATGTCGGTTATGAGGTCGCGAAGCTGATCAATAAGAACTTTGAGATAATCGTTTCGATTTGTGAGCTCCTTCAATTCAAAAAACATACAATCAGTAAATACTTTCAGCAAAAAAAAAAAAATCAAAGTACAATACATCCTTTTAGGACTAAGACTAAAATTCATAGATGCAATCGGTTAGAGACCCAAGATAGAAAGGGCTTTTAAATGGACAATGCTCCCAGTAGAATGTTATACCGTTGAAGGTTTTCCTTCTCATCTTTTCCTTCTTTTTTTTCTCCCTCTTCTTGTAGTCTATCTCAGCTCGAACAGCAGCACTACTATGGTACTACCCCTCAAAAGGAGGGGCAATATTTTTCAAACCACATGTAAACCCCAATGCTCCACCATCCAAAACTCAAAAAGCAACATCTTCCGACAATTCCAAGTCAGGAAAATACCAAACTGTAGAACCTAGAAGCCATAAGATTTACCACATGTATCTTTTTTATTGAAGAAGGAAAAGAAATTAAGAAATACCTTTCTTAAAGCAGAGGCTCGCTCTTCCAGCTTCTCAATTTCAGCATGATCCACTGAAGAACTGCTTGTTGCTGGGCCTATTTCGTATGCTTTTACCTATTTAAAGATGAAGAATACAAGGGGTAGATAAAGTTATTGAAAAAATCTCTTCATATCTTATAGTAGCCAAGATTTTATGCAGAGTAGCACGACAATTCAAAATTTAGGAAAGCAATTGCAGATTGTTGAGATATATGAACATATCGAAGACTGCAACATCTTTGGCTATGCGAAAATATTATTTATCAACCCGAAGTTTCATTAGTATACCAAACGGTTGAGAATACGAACTGAATTACCTATTCAAAAATACAAATGAACAGTAAAAGGACTTTCTCCACAATTAACATAGAAAAGAAATATACTCCAAAAACACAATTCATACAAGACATACAATTGAAAAGTAAAAATAGAAGCATCAAACTATCCTCATCTCACTTAAATTGGAGAATAAGTCCAGCACCTTGTATTTATCCACGACCAGCACATAACAGATCAATCACTTGAATTGTTTTACCATAGAAGATCAATCGTACAGTTCCAATATCCTTTAAACCTTGCTTGAATGTCTTAATTAGCTGCAACAGCTTCCTAGATAAGTGTTCTCCCTATTCCTACACTTCCATGGCATTCGTCTTCAACTAGGAGTTGTCAAATTGATGGGAAACCTCCTGTATGTCGAGTTCTACATGAATACATGGGCAGGATAGGTTTGCCCATGTATCTGTCGCTTTCTCCTCTAGGTAGAAAAGCCGAACTAAAAGTCAAAAAAAGGTGGTTACTTCCCACTCCCCCTCCCATGTTCCATTGCTGAGAGGGGGCCTTGCCTTATCTTTATGATATATATAATCAAGGACAAACCAAGATCCATAATACAAAAATCAAATTAGAATGAGGAAGAAAAAGGTGATCTAAGTCCATTATTCCATGCATTATAGGAAAGACAAAGCACTTTCTTTTAAGAATGCATATGGTTCCATCTTTCTTTTGTTAGTTAACATCCCTTTTTCTAAAAGGGATTGTAGTAATTCTGATTTTATACTACTTGGAATGGCTCTCTCATATTGAAACTTCCAAACAAATCATACATAAATCCAGGTAAAAAACCAAGCATTTTCAAGACTATTTTCTGTCCAGTTTATATTTTCAAGAGTGTCAATTCCCAGAATGTTCAAATCTATAAAACCTAAACGCAAAATAAAATGCTAGTAAGCAGCAAAAGTTATATCACCCAACGTTCCGCAATGAATTCCAACCAAATTTTATAAACAGACAGCCTACTGCACCAATTCGACGCGTTACAAAATGCCAGATAAAAAAGATTAATAATCAAAATTCAGGTGTAAAAAGCAAAAAAAATGCGACCTAATTGTAAAAGAAAGTGAATAAGGCTAGGGTTTTGAAAATTCCACCTTCTGAGAATTGGGAATCGCACTGATAACCGCTCGGAGAGCTGCAATGGAAGACTTGTAGCGGAGACGAGCCTCGTCGAGAGCTCCACCGCCCATCTCGAAGTGGTGCGAAGAATCAGACGAAACGTCGCCGTTTGAGGAGTGAGAAGCATGGTGATGTCCATTGCTCACAGCAGAGCTAGTAGCATTAGTAGAAGTGGTAGTAGCAGCAGTAGAAGAAGCAGTTGTGGACCACAGGGCTGGGTTGCAGAGCTCGTCGTTCATGGAACAGAGGATTTGGAAAGCTGCTTCGATTGTGTCTTCCAAATGCTTCTGACCATCCATTGCTAGATCTTGTGTGCTTTTAGGGTTCGTGATTGCGCCTTTATCTTCCATCGATTCAAAAGATTTTGGGGGAAAAGTGAAAATAATTTATTTCTGAAGTGCTCAATCGGACGAATTTTGGTTTCGGTTGATGAGCTAAAACCCTAATTTGTCATAGAAGCTAGTGAAATCGCCAGGGAAGGATTATTTACACTTTGTACCCTAAGTATTTCTATCAATGTTACTTTATCTCCTATATTTATCTTTACTCACATTACACCCTTAACTTGTTCCAAGTTTGGGAAGAAAAAATCTTACCCAAGCATATGCTAACCTTCGTCGTATCATTCCAATTTTATTATGTGTGGATAAAAACATTGTGAACCCACTACCCGCCTAATATCTATCTAGTATTACAATTAGTATTCTCTATATGCCACTATCCTTCTTAGTAGTTGTTTAGGGTACAAAAAAATATTTTTTTGTACCGTATTAATATTTATAATAGTTATAGACATTTTTATTACGTTATTTGTGTTTTTATTACTGTTATAATCTCAAAAAAAGTGATAAAAATTATTATCACAATAGTAATAAAAAGACTCACAACAATAGTAAAAGGACTCACAAAACTAATAAATCACCCATAAAAAGTGATATTTTTTTTGTACCGAAGAAAAATGATAAAAATAATTATCACAATAGTGGTAAATAAACCTATAATAATTATAAAAATACTCATAAAAATAATAAATTTTTTAATTATAAAATTACCTATAAAAATTATAAAAATACCATTTAAAATAATAAATTTTAGAGGTACAATATCGATTTTTTTGGTTCAGCAGTAAGTCCTTACGGAGGAACTTAATCACATATATCCTCTAGTTGACAAGAAATGTTACTAATAATAGTCCTTGCTAGTTTACATATGTGTGTTACAAATTTCATCATTACTTTTCTTTGTGGCATAAATTATGTTAGAGAAGTGTTTTAATAAAATCTTAATCGAATAATTACTAAATTATAGTTCAAATATCATCAAATCATGAGTTGCAAATATTTTGAAATAGAGACTAAATCACAACATGTGACACTCCTTGGACAACTAAAATTAATTCCTCAAATTATAGTGAAACTTTAAAAGCGGCAAACTTACATAATATTTGTGCAATTACAACGTAAACAAAACAAAATAATAAATTTATATGTTTTACATATTGTATATTATGTGTATTGCGGGATTGTTAGGGTATTACCTCTAAGATGTCAACAAGGACAAATAAGTAGTAAGAGGCATCATGATGCCAAATATTAACTGGGTAAGAATTAACTAAATGAATGGTATTTAGTAGCAATAAAATCATGTACATGGGTACGTTAAATACCACCTAGTGGGTGGTATAAATGGAGGGATATTATTCCCATTGATGGGTATAAGATATAAAATGTTCATAATAATGTCCATATAAAAGTCTATAGATTGGAATAGAATAATGATAAAATTATCTTTTTGCATACAAATAATCACTTAACATTTATTTTTGTGGTAGGTTCCACTTAATCTATTGATTGATACTTACACAAACAAGAGGTGGTATTGGATTTATATTTAACACCAATACTATTTTGCCATAGAATTGGTTTGGAATGGATCGCTTTCGCCAATAGCTTTATGTGCTATCCGGCAAACAAACATGGGATAATATAGAAGGATAATATAGAATTTTCAATCTTTTAAGGGCAGAATAACGAAAAGACAGAATTTTTCAAGGGGGAAAATATAATTTGTCTAAATTTGCTAGTGACGAGTTAGAATTCACTCCACAGGCTCATGTCCAAGCAAGAAGGGAGAGGATAACAACTATGAGTTTGAGTGTCCACATTCTCCCTCCATTTCCCCTAATCTACAGAAACTACTCAAGCATCACAAAACCCACAACCTCTTGTCCTCGTCAAACTTTGGTGATTTCTAGTCAAAAAAACCATAATACAAAACCATTTTTTTGGTCCAATTTACTCTCCCTAGCTGTTGCTGCAACTTTATCTTCTCCATTTCCTTCTTCAGCAATCCCATCTCTGAACTCTCAGCCCCCTTTACTACCTCCCACAACCCCATTCTCTGAATCCAAGAACTTAACTACCGGATTGGAAAATGGGTACTCACTCAATCCAATTTTCTTTGATGGGTTTATCTTATTATTGCTATTTAGGTCCTAATGTGCCTTCGTTTTATGGTTTATTGGCAATTAATTTCACACAATGCTCTGTTTTTTGCAGCAAAATCAGACCTTGCCCGTCTATTAATCCGGGTTGTGTATCTACTAATCCCCAGTCGTCATCTTTCGCATTCCCATGGGTGATTCCTGAGAATTATTCAGATAATGCAATTCAGGTATGGAGGTATTCATAGTTTTTGTTTGTATTTTGAGTTATATTTTGGTTGTGCAAGACATGTAATTTGTTAGTTTGTATTTTTTTTTTTGGTTGCAGAAACTGCAGGAAGCAATTCTGAAAACACAGAAAAATGCCAAGATTCAGCTAGTCGAAGACACACCAGATGGTAATTAGATTTAATTACATCCAGAAAATGTGATATTGATAGCATTTGCACACATAGCAAAACAAATATTGATTATTTTTCAAACAAATAGGCAGATGCAGAACCTCAATAGGGGTGGCAATTGTGTCATGTCTGAGTTCTAGTCGTGTTTTTGTGTTATATCCGAAATTGCCACCCCTAAATCTCAACCCCTGTGAAGTGACAATGAAAAATAGTGGATTGACATAAAGATAGAAGGCAAAGTACTAATCGGTTTAGGTCTCGTATAGATGTTCAGTTTTGCCATATTTGAAAGTACTAGTGGGAGACTTGTTTAGGATCATAGGAAGAGCATCAGTTTGGAGCATTGGTTAGTAATCATTTTGCTATATATGTACTGATGATGGGAAAAAAAAATCTAGGCCAATATCTGCAAGCTGAGGTTGATGGAGGATTTGGCCGAGACGTGCTAGAATTTTTGGTGAAAAGAGACGTGGTCACATATAGATCTATGGCCACCAAAGTAACCTATGTGTACCCCTTCACCACAGCTTTGGGGGATTCAAAGGGACAAGAAGAAAGAATGAAGAAGATCGTCGACCAGTTAGAGTGGTATGCTCCAAGTTTTGATTCGATGGATTAGAGTTAATACTTATTATCGGTACACAGAGCTCACTGGCAGAGCCCCATTCTTTATGATTTTTGTTTAAAAAATCCGAGGCATTCTATACAATTGATCTATTCTTACTCTTTGCCATATTGATGTTCAAGAATCTGATAAAAGCATAACGCATTTAAAAAATTCAAGGCATTGTATACAATTGATGTATTCTTACTCTTCGCCATATCGATGCACAAGAATCTGATAGAATAACGCATTTAAGCATTTTAAGGTATGTAATTTTTAGCCATTACTTTGTTTTTCTCCCCCGACGCTTTCTGATGAACATCTATTTCTTGAAATGAAGCGTCTTTACCTCTGTTTGAGGTTCATATTTCACTGTCTGATTGCAGCTGCGTGCTGGGCAGTGGTTAAAAATTGGTGAAAGCTAGAGAAACTACAGAAAACGAACTGCCAGGTTTTCTGTGGTAGCTTGATCAAGCATGGGCTCAAAGCTTTTCATTTCTGTGGTAGGGGAGTCTTTGATTGCTACGTATAATAAATTATGACGGCAGTTAATATGTTGCGTAAAGAACTTAGTTCCATGTGTTTTTGAGTTTTATACATGACTGGGCATCGCAATACAAGATTTGTTGCTGAGAGTAGATACTAACTAGTGTTAAAGTTTTATTTGCCTCATCCTTCTTCTTGCAGCCTACAACCGAAAACTCAGCTTGATCATCATGAATCTGTTTTGGGTTTGTAACAATTATGAAGGGATGTTCATTTGACATAATGCATAAACTACTGGTAGATTTTACATACTAACTAAAGACAAATTAGAGGATGACCTCTGAATCTTTACTTTGTGATGTCCATATCGATTAGATGATCCTCGCCTTGTTTGATTACTCATTTAGGTCATCTCATTGTGGCTGAGCTTCTAATATCTTGCAGTCCCATGAGTGTGCTTGATAACCATTAAATTTTGTCCATGATACGAAATTTTGTGAGGTTTTCTGAGCCTTATGAGAATGTAGCTCTGAGTATGCAATTTTCTAGCAACATGTTTATCATCTCTGCAGCATGTTTTACTGGTGTTCAGGCATTATAAGATTTGGTTTTATTGATTTTTTATTATTTTTTTTTGAGAATTTGTGTTTGCATTCGAACATGCTATACATTCTGTGAATCATTTATCAGAGAAAATTCCGTGATTGGCTTTCGGGTTAGCTAGTTTCGGAATTGATGAATTCACCATTTCGAGCATTGGACAAAGCTAGAGCAAGAGCCTGTTCCAGAACCAGGAGGGCAGTCCTTTGTTATATGTTCCTTTTCTTTTCCTTTTTTTCCGAAAAGCCGTTTCGGCTTAAGGAAGGATTTCTTGACTACTTAGATAAAGCTTTTTTCGGATAGCGGTATTTTTAAGCGGGGAAAGTTAAGTTCTAGCGTTTGACGAAATCCTATTTTTTGGACTAGGCTAGTTACGACTATCGATCCTGTTCAAATAAAGCAAGCGGATCATAGTGAAAGTGTCGGTCGATATGTTGTGGAATACAGTGGGGTAAAACAATTTCAAGTAATAGAAAAACAATGAATTAAAAACCAAAGAAGATAGATTGTTAGGTTAAGGTGCAACACTCGTTATCTTCGAGATAATAATTTTTTCACTTATAATCCAGATGGATTCTTGGAAATTCTACCCCTAAGATAAAATGTCTAACTTTAAGATTATCAAATACTGCACTTCTTAATAATCTTAGAATCAAAATTCAACTCAAATAGAAAATCATAAAATATATAATTTTTGAATCAAGGAGAAAAAGAAGTATTAAATTCTTGATATTTTGTTCATGCACTTGAACCCATTTATAGTGTTCTATACATCTCTCAATGAAGGAGTGTAATCTTTCAAAACCATGACATAAGACACCTTGAAAGGGCTACAAAAATATAACCGTTAAAGATTAATTTCAAACAGAATACCTGTTACGTTTGAACGTGCTCAACTCTCAGTATCTCGATTCTGAGATTTTTTGAAATTTCTGCCAAAGTACTCGTATCTCAATTATGAGTTTCTAGCAAAATACTAAGAGCAAGTTATGTTCAAACGTGGGTTTTGTTTGAATGAACCGAAGTCCCAATATCTCAATTTCTATCAAAAATTGAGATTTTGAAAAAATAGTAGGAGCAAAGTACATTCAAAACAATGTTTGCACATATGAACGTCGCCTCCCTCCTTTATGTAACAATGTTTGAAATTCTCATTATGTAAACTTCCTCTTTTAAGTGAATTTTTTGAGACTTTGAGTGGAGAATGAAGTTCTTTCTCTCTAGGAGAAGATAAATCCATGAAGAATCTCCAACAATCAATGTGGCATTTATCTATTTGCCCTCCAACGCACTTACTCCAAATGTTTTGGAGGGAAGTGAAAATTTCACTTTCCCACCAATATCAATTTAGAAGTATTATTGTACTATATATGTGTGTGTGTGTGCACGCTCTTATATATGTATGTATTTAATATTTAAGTCCATTCATGAAAATGATGTTGTCTTAATCAATATATCACTATTGATAAATAACTATATATATAACACGATAATGACATGCATGATCACATACACTGGAAGTGTTGATTTTTTGACTATAAAAATTGAAATATGGTGATGAAGGAGGCTAAATATGCTTCGCAAGCTGTACGTAACTCAGTTCCCCCTCCTAGACTCCTAGTACCCTTGGTTGAATGGGGCCTTATTTAGAAGGTGGCTGCTGAAAGAGAAAGCAGGGCCATGTGGTTATGTGCTTATGGACAAGTAAAATTTTGGGTATAACGGTGAAATTACGCTCTTGGGCCAGACCCTTTGAACTTGCAGTTGAAAAACAGATTATGCAGCGATAAATTTAAAAATTCATTTCATGTCACATTAATTATTGGATTAATAATTGTTCGTACCAATTGACTAACACAACACAACAACTTCTTAGGAAAATTGGTTATAAACGTACCAATTGACTAATTCAAGTAAACCAAAAGGCTGAGTCATTCATGAGGAACAATTGAATTACCCAATAGGTCATCTGTGATAAATATATATACCAGTTAAACATCCTCAGCATTCCGATGGAGGACAAGCCACACCGATAGAAACGCCGTGGTTGTTAGAATAACAATATAGTTATAGATAATATTTAAATAACCCTAATAACCTAGAAGGACAAACCATTCATGAAGATCATTTAGGTTCTGTACCACACATTAGTAGAACAGCCTCAGCATTCCGGTGGAGGACAAGCCATACCGATAGGAACACCGTGGTTGTTTAACCAACGGGTCTTATGATACATTGATGACATAATTCAAGACACAGCACCGGAATTATGCACATCACTATATCACGCATTAAACATATAATACATAAATAAATAAAATATAAATAAGACATCCGTATTTTCATAATCTAAACAATAATATACATATGTTCCCCTCGTACTGGAGGGTATAAACGACTACTCACGCTCAATTTCTACAGACAAGCAAGGAGTGTGGGTATTCATTATAACTTATCTCTGCACCTATTATGCAATCTCCTGATTGTTCTTTACCTTTTGAATTAATGTGTGATGCAAGTGACTATGCGGTAGGAGTTGTATTAGGTCAAAGAAAAGATAAAAAACTATATGTTATTTACTATGCTAGCAAAATTTTAAATGATGCACAAATGAACTATTCAACTACGGAAAAAGAATTACTTGTTGTTGTGTTTGCATTAGATAAATTTCGATCATATTTGGTTGGATCGTCAATTGTAGTATTTACAGATCATGCAGCTTATCATAAAAGATAAGAAAGAAGTAGAGAATGTGGTAACAGATCACTTGTCAAGATTAAATTATGAAGTAAAAGAGGAACCAGTTCCGATTAGAGAAACCTTTCCAGATGAACAACTTTTAACAATAACCGAAGTACCATGGTATGCAGATATAGCCAATTATCTAGCTACTGGTATTATTCCTTCTAATTATACCTGGTCTAATAGAAATAAGTTCTTAAGTGAGGTATGTAGTTTTTTCTGGGAAGATCCTTATGTGTTTAAATACTGTAAGGACCAAATAATAAGACGTTGTGTGCCTAATCATAAAATCCGTTAGGTAACTCAGTTTTGTTACTCTGAAGCTTGCGGAGGTCATTTTACTTCAAAGAAAACTACTATTAAAATTTTGCAATGTGAATTTTATTGACCAACTCTTTTTAAAGATATTCATATCTTTTGTTTAAATGGTGACAAGTGTCAAAGAATGGGGAATATTTCAAAAAAAAATATGATGTCTTTGAACCCTATTTTAATCATCAAAAATTTTGATTGTTAGGGCATCGATGTTATGGGATCATTTTCTCCATCCTTTGGATATCTGTATATTTTGGTTGCAGTTGACTATGTTTCTAAATAGGTAGAGGCAATTCCATGTAGAAATAACAATCACAGAACAATAATCAATTTTTTAAAAGAAAATATTTTATCCAGATTTAAAATTTCTCGAACAATCATTAGTGATGGTGGATTACATTTTTGTAATAGATTTTTTGAGAATCTTATGAAAAAATACTCAATTTCACATAAAATATCCACTCCGTATCATCCACAAACAAGTGGCCAAGCTGAATTAGCTGATAGGGAGATAAAATACATTTTAAAAAAAACAGTAAATCTAGATCGTAAAGATTGGTCATTGAGATTGACTGATGCACTTTGGGCTTATCGTACTGCATATAAGACTATTCTAGGAACATCTCCTTATCGGTTAGTTTATGGTAAACCATGTCATTTGCCTGTAGAATTAGAACATAGAGCCTATTGGGCAATCAAAATGATGAATTTTTGATATGGATAAAGCTGGAATATCACGTAAACTTCAAATCAATGAGTTAGAAGAATTAAAAAATGAAGCTTATGAAAATGCAAAAATTGCGAAATCCAGAACCAAAATATTCCATGACAAGAATATTGTGTGAAAATCTTTTAAACCATCTCAAAAAGTTCTGTAATATAATGCAAAGCTTCGTTTGTTCCCTGGAAAACTAAGATCTAGATGGACATGACCGTATATAGTCAAGCAAGTTTTCGACTATGGGACAATTAAAATTGAAAATCTAGTAACTAGGACTATCTTCAAAGTAAATGGACAAAGACTTAAGTCATACTATGATGAATTCACACAAGATGTAACTTCTGTTCTGCTTTTTGATCCAGTCTATGTGCACTAAATATATATTCTTGATTGTTTGTAAGTAATAATACTAATTATGTGTAATTTATTTGACAGATTAAACCTCCTGCGTAAAAACTAGATATCCTAATCTCTGAAAGACAACAGATTCCTAATTTTTATTTATTATCAATACTGACTATTATTGTATTTACATTTCAAATACTGTTTAATTTAAGATGGGGAAATGTGAATGTGAATTTAAGTTTTGTGTTTAAAATAGTAATTGTAATTTAAGAATTTATGTTCGTTTTTATAACTGATAGACGTTAAAGAATCGGATAGTGAGTTAATTTTCAATAATTTTTCAAGTCATCTTTAATCTTTTTCTAAAAAAAAAAATTTGAAAATGGACGAAAAATTATTTTGGTTAAGTTTAGTTTTATTACATCATTTTTCGAAAGATAAACATACATTGATCATGCAAAAAGCTAGATATGTTAGAAATTT